TTTTTCATGGTATCTGGAACTGGGCCTGATTAAGCTCTTGATTAAAATGTATGCATTGAAAAAGACCAGTGCCTGGTCCCACCCTCTGCAGATACTGACTGCATTGTTGGGAGATCGGACTGGGACATAAGTGTATATCTACATCTACCTACCTACTTACCTACCTATTTACATATACAGTGGTTTTGGTTTGGGCTTTGCTTCTGTAAAGATTGACAGCCTTGGAAACCCTGTGGGGAAGTTCCACTCTGTCCTCTAGAGGCGCTGTGAGTCGGAATAGACTCCACTTAGTGGGTTTGGTTTGGGCTTTGCTACTGTAAAGATTGACAGCCTTAGAAACCCTGTGGTGCAGTTCCACTCTGTCCTCTAGGGGCGCTGTGAGTCAGAATCGACTCCACAACAGTAGATGACTTTTTAGATCTTTCATAGAAATGGTATTGTACAGTATTTGTACAATATTTCTCCTTACAATATTTTCTTGTGGTGAAAATATACATAACAAAACATATACCATCTCAACCACTTCACATACAATTCAGTAACACTGAGTCATGCAACCATCCTCATTCGCCTTTTCTAAATCATTCCACCACCATGAACATAAACTCAGATATATTCTAAAATGTTCCCAGTCGATTCACGTGAGAAGCTCTGCTATGCCCACAACTACTAACACAACCCACCAGCCTTATAACTCTGTCTCTTTAAGGAATAATTGTTTTTCTGTGACCTGACCCTTTCTGGAATTCAAATTCCTCTTTTCTTTCTCATCAGTGGAAACCATTTTGCCAGCCAAGAATGTGAAGTATGTCTCTCCAATACTTTCAGTCCCCACTTAATCCCAGTTCAATGCTTGGCGTTCATGGCAGGTAAGCTATCTCACTGTGGTCTACTTGAGCTCTCTCCTCGAGTATGCACCCCTTCAGGGATCTCCAGTTCCTCCCACCATAAAATGCAAGCTCTTCCCAGTAGAAGAGAAGGAAAAATGAGCATCCTGGCCAGACAGGGTTTGTAGAGTAAGGTTCCAGAGGGTGATGGGGAGTTATGGAAGGAAGTTTCCTCCTCTTATCGGAGGGCTTCAGCTAGAGAGAGACATCACCAATTGTTTATTTAAAACAGCCTCTGGTGTGCCTGCCTACCACTACTGAACGTTTTTACCAAAGACTCCAGGCGAGTATTGGTCAAAAGGGGGAAAATATGGAACAGACTTATGGGGAGTCCAGACTTTCCAGAGCCATTGAGGCTAGATGAACCCCTGAAACTATTCCCCTGAAGTAACTTTAGACGTTACATCTTAAACTAAGAATATCCCCTAAAGTTGTCTTTAACCGAAAAGGGGGGGAGGGGAATCATTGTCATTGAGCAAATTCTGACTAACAAGAACCTTATAGGACAGACTAGAACTGCCCCATAGGGTATCCAAGGCTATATAAATCTTCATGGAAGCAGGCTACCTTATCTTTCTCCCACGGAGTGGCCGGTGGGTATGAACTGCCGACTTTTCAGTTAGCAGTCAAGCACCTAACCACTGCACCACCAGGGCTCCTAATCCAATAAGAGTTTAGCTTAACCAGGAAAGAATGTCTGCCTTCAGCCTTGTGCTCGTTTAGAGAGTGATCCACCTGGGATCAAGCTGACAACAACTCGAAAGGTTAGATAGGGGCCTTTGAGGGCAGGGAGTTCATGTCAATGATAGAGACATAACTTGAAAAAGCGTGAGAATGGTTGCACAACTTGGAGAGTGTAATCAGTGTTCCTGAATTGTAGAAATTATTGAGTCGGTGTATTTTTTTTTTAACTTTTATTGTGATTTGGATGAAAGTTTACAGAGCAAATGCACTTTCCATAAGGAGTTCATACACACTTTGTCTCATGACATTGACTGCAATTTCCCACAATGCACCAGCTCCCCTCCCACTTCCCATTAGTTCTAGTAGTAGCTGTTGTTGCAGATAGAGATGTTTTTACTTCTTCCTTTCTGATTATAATGTCGTTAATTCTTTTTCTTATCTTATTACACTGGGTAGGACCTCTGATACAATGTTGATTAGTAGCAATGAGAGTGGAAATCCTTGTTTTGTTTCTAGTCTTATGGGGAAGAAAGTCGATATCTCACCATTTAGAATGATATCAATACTGTCATTGGTGTCAATAAGTTGTACACCTGTAAAAAGTTGAATTGGCAAGAGTTGTATGACAGATCTATTTACAACAATAATTAAAAAAAAAAAAAAGAGTGGCTGCTTATTTAAAACCAAACACCTCATTGATTTGGAGGTTTAGGGTCATGGTTTCGTGGGACATCCCAGTGAATTGGCCTAATAACATGTTTAGTGCTTCTGTTCTACCTCCTAGTCATTGCATAGCACCAGGAGTCTTAGAAGATTGCAGGTGGCCATCCACAGCACAACAATTGATCTTCATTCACCTTGCGCAACAGAGAAAGGAGAGTCAGGTATAGAAAGCGGATATGGGATGTGTGGTTAACTGCCTCCATGAACAACTGTCTCTTTTGCCATGAGACCAGAAGAACTGGATGGTGCCCAGCTACTATTACTGAACATTTTGACAAAGATTCTATAGAAGAATCCTGATCAAAAGGGGGGAAATACAAGACAGAATTTCAAATTACTATGAACTCCAGACTTACTGGAGCCGTGGAGGGTGGATGAACTCCTAAAACTATTGCCCTGAGATCATCTTTAAACCTTAGATAGACCCAAAATATCCCCTGAAGTCATCTTAAAACTGAACAAGACTTTAGCTTAACTTAGTAAAAAAAAAAAAAAAAAAATTAACTCAAGATGGATCAAAGGTCTAAGGTTAAAACTGATAACTCTAAAGACCATCAAAAAATAA